TTCTCTTCTCTTCATCATCATCTTCTCCTGCTACTCCGCCATTAAAGCTCCCTTTTTCCCACCTTCTTTCTCTCTCCTCCAACCCTAATTTCTTCCCCTTTCTTCTCTCTTCTTCACATTTTTCATCTTCCCCAAATCAATGAAAAAACCCTAATTTTATTTCACCAAATCAAACACCCCCAACAAATTTCTCACCCAGATCAAACCCAAACCAAATCGAATCGATTCGATTCAATCCATTCAAATCCGATTGAAATGAAACCCACTGGAAAACTCTTCACGATCGGATTAATCACCTTCTGGTACTCCTCAAACATCGGCGTAATCCTATTAAACAAGTATTTGTTGAGCAATTATGGATTCAAATACCCAATTTTCCTTACAATGTGTCATATGACAGCTTGTTCTCTCTTCAGTTACATCGCCATTGTTTGGTTGAAGGTTGTTCCGATGCAAACTGTTCGATCTCGTGTTCAATTTGCGAAGATCGCCGCTCTTTCCGCCATCTTCTGCGCCTCCGTCGTTAGCGGTAACATCTCTCTTCGCTATCTCCCTGTCTCCTTCAATCAGGCTGTCGGTGCTACCACCCCCTTTTTCACCGCCGTTTTTGCTTATTTGATGACCTTCAAGAGGGAATCTTGGCTCACTTATGTCACTCTTATTCCTGTTGTTACTGGTGTCATCATTGCCAGTGGGGTATGTATCAATCTCTTTCTTATTTTTTTTTTATATCAGTAATTGATTAATATATGAAGCTGTTGATTTAATTATTTATTTGAAGAAATTTTATATAAATGGGTGATTAATTAATCAATTATCCAGGAATTTTATAAGAATAAGATTATTATATTTGTTGTAATAATTGATAGCTGATTTGATTCTTGGATTAGTGAGGAATATCCTTTAGATTTTGGATATATTGATTGCTTGACCTTTTATTATTTTTTATATTTATAATGAATTGGATCCATTTGTATATATGATAAATCAGCTGGATTTTCGAATGTCGGTGATTAGGGATTAGTGATTAGTAGGAGACGAGAAACTTTTATGTAGTTGAAATGGGTTTTTAAAAAAATGCATGTAGTTGAAGATGGTGTTTCGATGATCTTTTCCCTCCCCTCAGAAAAGTGGTTATGAAATTGGGAATGGGTCCTTGGCCACCTGTCGGACCAACTCGCAACCAGTTAGTGTCCGGGAGCCACCCGTTCTGTCTTGGCTATTTGTGTTCAATGCTTTTGCGGGGGTAAAACAGTAAAACATCAGCTGCAACGACATTTTTATCCCATCTCTATGGAGTTTTTGTGACGAATCTATATACACGCGGTGTTAATTCTAAGCTGTTGGAAATTGTTGAGGCAGTTTTTGAAAATTTCCAAATTTTTTTACGTGTGTAGATACTCCTATAATGGAAGGAGAAAAATTGATAGGTGGGTTCCCTATATATGAAGATGAAAGCGAGTTTGATAGGAGTTTTAGCTTTCAAAATAATGAAAGTGCTGGCAACCATCGTTTGTTTCTTATAGTGACTGTTATAAAGTGGTACCATGAGGCTGATATAAAGTGGGGACTTTTGAAATTTGAAAATTTTTATGCAAGTTGCATTTTCTTGATGCTGATTTTTTGGTTGCTTATATCGGTAATTTGATGTTTGTCTGTAGGGAGAACCGTTGTTTAATTTGTTTGGATTTATAATGTGCGTTGGAGCAACTGCTGCACGAGCACTTAAGACAGTTCTTCAAGGAATCTTACTGTCCTCCGAAGGGTAAGAATAATTTTCCTGCGAATTCTCGGTTTATTGAGTTATGCTATTCACATATTAGCGTAGAGGAAGCTGTGCTGATTGATCATCATTGCATTTGACAGGGAGAAGCTCAATTCTATGAATCTTCTCATGTACATGGCTCCTATAGCTGTTGTCTGCCTTATTCCAGCGGCACTATTAATGGAGGAGAATGTAGTTGGGATCACTGTAGCTCTTGCAAGAGAGGATCTCAGCATTGTTTGGTATCTGCTCTTCAATTCTTCACTTGCCTACTTTGTGAATTTGACCAACTTTTTGGTGACCAACCACACAAGTGCATTGACTCTCCAGGTATTCCTGAAACCTATTCTGTTCTACACCGCCAGTGGACTTTTTTCCTACTTATCGCTTTTTTTCAAAAAATTATGTTAATGTTGAGCTGTGCCACATTCATAGACCCGTCTTTTTTGTTCTACACTTTCACAGACCTTATTTTCTTGCACACACACAGAGACACCCCCCCCCCCCCCTCTCTCTCTCTCTCTCTCTTATTTTTGGTTGCACATATTCATACTCCCTTTGCTATTAAGAAATATGTGTATATGATAATAAGAAGGAATGGTGCAAATTAAATCTATAGTTTCATAGAATGTCTGAAATGGATTTCTTTATTAAGCCACTAGATCGTGTTAGGGCATTTTGCGTATAATCTCTTATCACATTTAACCCCTTGGTGTGAAGGTGTGTCAGTGTGTGTAATAGAAGCTATGGATTATTAAAGAAACACTCATGATTCATGGTGGAGAATCCATATGTGACATTCTTACACTAAATGGCATACAAGTGTCATTACCATACTTTCATATCATTACATTATACCAATGCAGATTATTATATTTGCACTAACATTTGTAATGCCATGATGGAACTCTGATCTTTGTACATAATTAAAGATTTAATCTTGATTGAAGACAGAAGAGTGATGACCATTTATCTATTGTATATTTGTTTGGTTTGGAATGAAGGTTTGCATGTATATAATTATCAGCCTGGCTGTAGTGTGTAGCCTTGGGTATTACAGAATACTGATCCCTGAGAAGGTACTGCAAAATGTTAATAAATATGAAAGAGAATTTTGTTTAGGTTTGTCACTAAATGTACCATCCGGTGTGATAGTTCACATGATGAAGCTAAAGAACACAACTTATAAAATCAGTATATAATACCGTACAACTATCTCCCCTTAATAGTGTTTACAACTTCTGTTGATGTTTAATATACTTGCTTCTTCGTCCAGGTTTTAGGAAATGCCAAGGGAGCTGTTGCTGTTGTTATCTCAATTTTGATATTTAGGAACCCTGTATCAGTGACCGGAATGCTTGGTTACTGTCTTACTGTAATAGGGGTTGTTCTCTATAGCGAAGCCAAAAAGCGCAGCAAATAAGACTTCTCACATACTCATCTGTAGTTCATTAGATTTAGCCCAGCCGTGATGCAGTCTTCAATTTCAGATTTTGAGGTGAAAGTTCTGGGACCTTTGCTGGTAACTTCCTAGTCCAGCAACCTGAAGGCCAAAAATGGAACTGTTTTGTTAAGCAGGCTAGCATCAAGAGATCATGACTTCAATTAGATTTTTTTCCATTTTTAGTTACCGTCATTGTAATAATATTTAGTAATTTATTTAGGTAAAAATATTGGATATTCATAGTGACAACACTCTCATAAGTTCAATTTGTTTGGAAATTCATAAACTGTTCAATTATTTATAGAGGAATTATTTTTGTTGTGTAAAGTTGAATTCAAGATGTTGCTTGTTAACACTTCTTTGTTCCATTTTGGCCGCAATGTGCTAATTTTGTTTCTCATGCCAATGTAACCTAACGGTGACCCGGAATTTATTTTGTAATTTTTGGATGAAAAATTTAATGTCATTTAGAAGAAATGGAAAGTTGATACACCTTGCCACCACCTTAAAGCATGCAGAAAGGTGATGGAAGACTTTCGGAAATTCCCGTAAATTAAGGCATGGATTTCCATCAGCTAAAAAGAACATGCACTAGAATTTCTACAAGAAGTTGCATAAAATTAGGTAAGTGAAGCACGAACTTACGTCATTGCAAAGGTAGAAAAATTGAAATTGAACATTGGAATTCGGTGGCTTTTTTTTTAAAAAAAAAAAAAAAAAAAAAAACCTTAATGGAGCATGAATTCTACTAGAATGCCCTCTTTCATGAGTTCATGACAAAACTTCAAGCTTTCCCTTAAATGCTAAGAAATTTATAGTTGAACTCGAATCACACGAGAGAAAGATGAAAGGGTATACCGCCAGTCATTGAATACTAGCTTCAAAACTCAAATGAATGAATTTTGACAAATATTGAAGCTTAATTTACCTCTGGTTTATTTCCATCATCTGGCTCTATCATCTAGTAAGTGTTTTATTATGTACAAGAGACTCACAATTACTTGAACTAAATAGTTGTTTTATGAATTGTACAAAACCATTACGAGGATGTTCTATTTGATTGGAACTTTTCCAACCCCCCAAAAAGGTAAATAAAATTGAACAGAAATGGAAAAGCATTGACTAACTAGGATATTAGTCCACACCAAATTAATCCATGCCAAATGACTATGATGTCATCTACTACGTATATATTGTTTTGGGCCATTTTACAATCACGAATAATCAAGTGAACGTTGCCCGTGGAAAAGCATTGACTGACTAGGCTATTAGTTATTAGTCTTATTACTTCACTACTTGTAATTTGTTGACATTCTCGTTGACAAAGTCCATGTTCATAGTACTAATCCACCATCAATGAATTAGTTTCCTTTCATTATCATTTTAGCTTCAACTGATAATATTATGTGGAAAAACACACGAACAATTAGGGGTGGCAATTCGGGTCAGCAGGTCGGGTTCGGGTCAGATTTCGGGTCGATTTCGGATTATGCTTAGAAACTATTAAAAATAGTGTAAAACTTAATATTATTACGAAATATGAAATTTGGGTCAAAACGGGTCGAATTCGGGTTGTTCGGGTTCGGTTCAGGTCGGGTTCGGGTCTCTCTCAGTAACTTCGGGTCAGGTTCGGGTCGGGTCAGGGTTTGCCAGCCCTACGAACAATGGACTTTCACACCACTTTTTTTTCATCATGTATATAATTTCAGTGCCATTACCGCATTACCACCAAATGGGTTGTATACTCAGCAATCTAATACTCCGTAGTTCGTACAGATAATAGCAGGAAACTAGGAATAACGGGAGTATTGTAACACATTATAGAGCTTTGAGAAAAAAAATCATTACATACACTACAAATGGAAAAGTAAAACTAGAGATTCCTAAACAGAATTGAGCAACAAGCATTCTAACTGCGTAAATTTGAGAAAGTAATTAACAGCAATGAAGCATAGTAGAATCTTCATAGCTTTAACAAATTCACGCAAGATAATGCATGAGAAATCCTGGTAAAAATCAAACATTAACCTAGATTAAAGACAAGCCTTGCAGCAACAAGCAACAGGTAAAAGACTAAAAATTCTAAATTCATTATTCATTCTCATCTTCTTCAATCTTGGGGGCCAAGTAGAACCGAATGTAACCCATCTCTGCAATCTTGTATTCAACCACAACAGGAAGCTCCGAAGACAAACTGAGTGTGACAGTGTTTGAGAGGGGTGTTGCCTTGGTAAAAGAGTTCATGTACCGCAGTGCAAAGGTCAAATTCACAGGCTCGTTCATCTCTATAACTGTGGCTTCTTCAGGCTGCAATCAAAATAATACCACCATGAGAAAACAGAATGATCAACCAGATCAAAAGCTATCATATTTCAAAGGTCCCAAGTGCTATTTCATCAATTTTATAAGATTATACCTTGTCAACTGTTGTGTTCTGTCTGCAGACAATGTTTGCAGCTCCAATGTCACCTCTTGTGGAAAATTTAACACCTTCTTTTGTCACAGAGATTACAACTGCAGAAATTCACATAATAAGAGGTTCATTATGGGGATTAAAGTGCAGGAACAGGGCAAATTCATGGGAATGAAACAGTACCTGTGTCACCGATACTGCTCAAATCTTTACAAATCCTGGCAAATTCAGCAGACGGCATTCTTACAATGGCATGGTATTCAGCTTCAGGAATTCCAAGGTGCTCGCTGTCAATGTCCATCAGCTTCATCTCAAAATCAGCTATTTTATCCTGGTCTGAAATGATTACAGACAGTGAATAACCAATATCAGCATAACCAAACTTGTTAATGAACAAATTTGACACATTGACAACTACATTTCTGCTATTGGACACCCGATTCATCACTATTTCATTTCTAGAGGAGACTTGAATCCATGGCCACACCCATACAGCAACACAGGCAAATAATACGCTACCTCACACCCGTGCAAATTTTCCATATCTCATAAACCATAAAATATAGGACATGAACGCGATTTCAAAATCATGTTGGTAGGTTAATTGTACATCCTTAAAGGCTGCTTAAGGAGCAGCCAATTTTCCAGCATAAGTCGGTCAACTCAGAGTGTTCACTGACCTCAACATCTAGTAAACAAGACAATATCTTACCTAACTCCTAAATCCTCCCTCCATTAAGAAAGAGTGTTGTTCACAATGATGATGTAATTTAAACTAATAGTCTATCAACTAAATCCAGAAGAAGCGAGTATTTGGAGTCTCACATGTTACCAAAGTTCACAATTCTTTTAGCCTATGATACTACAAGATTTCAAAAGTTGCTAATAGATCATCATTCCTCCCAAGTTTTACCTCAATTCCATACTAATAAATAACATTTTCCCCCCAATCTAAGAGGATCTTTCATTAATTTCTACCAAGAACTACCTAAATTTACTAGTTGAAACAATATAATACTACAAATCACAAGATTACATGCATCAAGAACGCTACAAAATGGCATGCATTATCCTCAATTAATTTCAACATATTCAATCCAAGCATAAATTATTATCTTAGCCCATTAAAACACAAATCCTCGTTAATATAACAACAATTTCCAACAAATCTCCACACATTTCTTACAAATATCTCAAGAATCAAAAACCTAAATCCATTTTCAACATCAAACCGCCAAATAAACCCTAACAAGCGAAATCAAAACCCTAAATAGCGAAAACCAAAATTCCAAAACGAAAAAAGGGGGAAGAGCGAGAAACTTACTGGGGCTTTCAAACATGAAAGTAACAGTATCACTTCCATCATCAGCCTTAATAGTGATAATATCATCATTTCCAGAACACTTAAGCATTTTAGACATGTTAGTAAGATTCATCCCCATTGAGATATTCCTGTCGCACCTATAATGCTCAAAACCCTCAGCTCGTAGCAAAAGTGCGACGAGTGCGACATGGCTTGAATCCATAGCTTGGAGAGAGAAACCAGTCGCTGAACAATCAAAGTTGGCATCAGTCACCAAATCTTTGATCGATTCAATAACCTTCTTCAGAAGACTTCCTTGAACTAATCGTAATTCCAACATTTTAGGGGATTTAGGGTTTGAGGTGAAATTAGGGTTTGAAATGGGAGAAAAAAGGGGAAAGAGGGAAGAAGAAGAGGAAGTGTCGGGTGGATTCGGATCGGGTTCGGTTCTGGACCCGTGGAACCGAATAAGGAGTATTTATAGGGGTGAGGAAAGAGAGGGTATGATTTGAATTTTGGAAAAAGTAAAAGGGTATTGGCGGGATTTTTGGAAATTTCGTGCTTTTGTTTCCCGCCCAATGAATTGTGTGCTGTGGACGCTAAATTGTCACAATTTTTGAATGGGTTTTTAATGGTTTGGTTTATTTTACCAGAATAACTCAGATTTTCATTACGTTAGTACCAAGGGCCTTTATTGCACCAAACAAGTTACGGACCTTTATGCGATCGACAAAGTGTTATGATCTTAGGAAGCGTAGTTGATATACGAAAGCATCTTATTCATACATTGATCCACCCTCTATCATCATACCTTGAGAAATCTTGACGTGTGACGGGTGCTTGAATGGTTGAATCATCACAAGCTTAGAAGGATTGTAATATTCTTTTAAATTAAAGATATATTCCCTCCATGTATTTATTACCTGCTCCATTTTTGTATGTACAGAGCATGTACAAAGTTTTTTGATAAATTATTGACTTCTATTGTGGGAATTTAAATCAGCTTAAAACGTGGATAACCTTCGATTTTTGGACAATTTTCAACCTTGTAGGTTTAGGAAGGGAAAGGTCAAGGTGCTAGCTATGGACCCTACGACACACCAAGAGGTCATTTGGGTGGTTGAAACTATTGGTTTTTTCATTTTGTAGCCGTTAACATACACGCGAGCCTGTTAACTCAAAGCCACCACGAGATTTTACATAACCGGCTAGTGGTTATGTATGGCCCCAGACAACATCATATGACTATAGGATGCTTCCCTTATGCCTTACCCAAGAGTTTTCGACACCGTGTATTGAATAGTAAAATAATAATTGATCCGATTTTGTATTATATATCCTTTAGTTTTTGTACAAAATTTGAATTTTTCATATATGAAACATAAGAAGTTGAGTTGCTGACCATGTACTCCATGACACATTGACGCCTCAAGATAATATTTGGGCTCTTGGAACCATTCACTTTGCCTTTAATTCATCAATTTATTCGCTTATGAGCACGTCTTCTCTAAATGGCTCTAGGTCACTACAAATCGTTTATATGATCGACTAATGACCTTGTATGGTTATAAAACAACATTATATGACCCTTAGATGCGTCCCTTACATTCCCATGACTTATCAATATCAGTTCTCAAAATTAAATCAATAACCATACAAGGTCATATAATGTTGTAGGAGGGTAAAATGGTCTACTCAAAATTTATCAACCGAAACCCATCCTCCTGATTAACAAAAATCAACCCAAAAATTAAGATGCACTCAGCTACAAGCTGCCCCCACATTAACAGTGAACAATTTCCTGTCGTTTTCTCGATTTAATTCTCACGAATAAACAAACATGAAGAGAACCACTAAATATAAAAAAGCAAATTAAGTAGCAACAAAAAGGGGCCAATTTCTCCGATTTCCACATCTCATTCCCAAAAATCTCACTAATCACTATCTCCCAGTTATTAAATTTCAGCAAAAAATTCTGGGTTTTGGTTTTCAGATCATTTTTCTTTGATTTGCAATGCCGGGTCTCGGTTCTCATACCGAGATCTCTTTTGCCGGAACTTTTGTTAGCAGTGCTATTGCTGCTTGCTTTGCTGAGGTAATTCACAAATTCACCATGTTTTTTCCAATATATCCTAAACCTAAGATAAGAATATTCTATGGATATTGTCTATCAATATTCATAAATTTAAACAATGTTGTGGAAATATGGTGTTTAATTTATAGTTAGGTGATTTGAGTAATATTATTTGTTGTTTTCTTGCTTTAATGTTTGATTTATAAGGTTTTAAGTTGTATTAAATGCGACAATTTTTCATATTTTGTGTTTAATGAAGTGAATTAAGGGTGTGATCATGGTTTGGGTTTGGTGTGGATTTTAATAACTTAATAATTTTCTGTTGCTGTGAAATTTAATGCAGAGTATTTCATTTGTGATCTATGTTACTCAAAATTATTAGTGTCGGTTGAAGTTGTTATTTTTGATCTAGAATGAAGGGTCAATTCTCCACACCCCATGTCATGGTGTCGATTATCGAATACGGGTATTAATGTGAAATGAAGAGTTCGAGTAATATAGGATGTGAAATGTGATATTGATTATAGATTAATTTAGCCAACTGGGTGATTGAGAATACGAGATGCTTGGGAGTGTAGGTTTTATTGGGTACCTCTTTATATTTTTCTGTTTCTTGACTGCTTGAGCTAATTTAATCTGTCTGTGATTGTCGTTCATTCAAAATCAGAATGCTTGAATTTGGGTTGTAAGGGAGTAATGTAACCAAAACATGTTGCATTCTTTGTGAAATGTGTTAGTTATGGAAAAACAAAAATCAAATGAAATCATTCTATGTCGAACATTAGCACATAGGGGCCCTCCACACACACCATTGTAACAATGCCTCTATCGAGACTTCTACCTAAGCAAGTATCTGGAATGAGGGGTGGGCTGGTATTAAGACGTGTTACCCTTGCAATTGAAAGAAATTGTTTCTTTTTTGACACTTGAACTGAATAACCCTAACCATATTCAAGGCATACTGAGATGGTATGCTGAGTTTTCTACTAATTTTGCATTTTTGGTGTGATTGGACTAATCTGCAGTTTTGTACGTTGCCATTAGACACTGCTAAAGTGAGGCTTCAGCTCCAGAGGAAAGCTTCTTCAACTGATGGAGCTGTTTCAGCCAGATATAAAGGCATGTTGGGAACTATAGCAACTATTGCAGGGGAAGAGGGTTTACCTGCTCTCTGGAAGGGTATTGTGCCAGGCTTGCATCGCCAATGTCTCTATGGAGGCTTGAGGATTGGCCTGTATGAACCTGTGAGTTTGAGATATATTTTCTTATATGTCATGTTCTTTACCTTTATCTATCATAATATTGATGCATCTTTTCATCCTCCCACCCTGCAGTTCAAGATGTTTATTATTGGATCTTATCTCTTTGGAGATTTCCCTCTAATCCAAAATATACTAGCTGCTCTCTTAACTGGTCAGTTATTTATCCAGTCATCCAAGCTTCTAAAACCGCCTTTTAATTCTGTTCAAAAAATTATAAATGAATCTTTGCTAAACTAATAATATTTTCATTTTCTAACCATCTAGCTGGCAATTTATCTTTTGAACAGGTGCAATTGCAATAATTATTGCCAATCCAACTGATCTTGTTAAAATTCGACTTCAGGCTGAAGGAAAATTGCCACCTGGAGTGCCTAGGCGTTACTCAGGAGCCATGGATGCTTATAGTTCCATAATAAGACAGGTAATTCCCTGAGAGAGATTACTTCTCATATTTGTTTTGGACTCCTGAATCCTGATTAATGAATCTTATGCTACTAGGAAGGGCTTTTGGCACTATGGACTGGTCTTGGACCCAACATTGCCAGAAATGCAATCATAAATGCTGCTGAACTAGCCAGTTATGATCAAGTGAAACTGGTAAGTTCACATTGTCATCTTATATTTCGCAACTTGAAGTTTCTTCTCATGTACTGTTCTCTTATAGTTTTATGCATATGCAGACTATATTGGCGATCCCAGGATTCACAGATAATGCACTTACTCACATCCTGGCTGGTTTAGGTGCAGGGTTTTTTGCAGTCTGCATTGGATCTCCCGTGGATGTGGTGAGCTTTCTTTGTGCCTGCATTAAGTAAAGTTTTCTAATTGAAATGATACTATTTTGAGATTTTAGTCGGGCTCTGATTATTTCTTCTAATTGACGAACTAATTAGATGGTAACACACTTACACTATAAATTATGATAGTCTCGAACTCCCGACTGTAATTACAAATGTAAAACTAGTTCTACAAAATATGTGCCAAAGTGATTGTGGGAGCACACCTAAGTATAATAGAGTTACAGAACAGTAGTAGTCAAATTACATAATTTGTGCAGCAAAGTAAATCCATTCAAAAAATTGTCCCTTTTTTTATTAAACATCATGGTGTAAATGATATTACTCATGAATTTCACATCATTTGATAATATGCATCTTTGAGATACATAAAAACTTACTGCATTCTATGGTTAAAGTTCTATTTAGATATTATGATGACTTAACATACCTTATGGCCTAGTCACTCTATATCAGCATGGATTGTCTGCTTTTCTTATTTAAAGGTTGTTTCCAGGTAAAATCTAGAATGATGGGAGATTCAACATACAGAAGCGCGGTTGATTGTTTTATCAAGACACTGAAAACTGAGGTACATAGTACTCTTTGAATTTCCATATGGTACCATAGTATATACTTAAGAGGGGGAAAAAAAACTTTATGGTAACAAGTTTTTTGGTTTGATTTTCCTCTTCATTATTAGTTATGTTGTTTCTGCAATATGGCTCTGTAGCAACATCTTCATTTAGTTGTGACTCATCTGGTATTTACAGTCTTAATTTATTATTATGCAGGGACCAATTGCATTTTATAAAGGATTCCTCCCAAATTTTGGCAGATTAGGGTCATGGAATGTGATCATGTTTTTGACATTGGAACAAGTAAGACTATCTTTTAGTGCCTGTGTAATGTATTTGCTTCATTTGTTCGAGTTATGATCAATTGCACTTGCCTTTTCTTTTATTCAGTTCTGGTCTAATCTCTATTTCTCTAGATTTCTCACACCCGTTTCTTTATTATGACAATGAATTCTTCTATTTTGAACACTGGTCTGGCTACTTATTTGCTTCTTTGTTGTAGCTATTATTATGCAAAACTTATGCAGATAACTCCCCTAGATTCTAAAAGCAAAATACTTTGAAAGCTATTTTTTGGTACTTTTTGGCAAGTAAAACTACAAAGTTAATGTGGAGTGTGCACTTGGTATGCTTTGGTAGTAATTTATCACTCTTTCTTATGTCTATCTTTCCTCCATGGTCGTACCCTACAGCATCACACCTACTGGAGTATTCTTATACTGTAGGAAATCCATTTTGATGAAATTGCCATTTTTCAAGCTATTGATCTTTATTTGGATCTTAAATCCTTGTCCTTAAAGCAATTTTGACAAAGTCACTATTAATCCTACTGGGTCTGTTATGCATGTGATCGTTTTTTTTTAATAAGTTACTTACATGGATAGGTGTAGGGGGAAGTGGGAGTAACTCAGCATGTATCCATCCTGAAAGTTGCATATTTGAAATCTATGTTAATGAATTGCTTAAATTTGCATGAGTTAGTCGAAGAACGTAGAAAATAGGTTTGTAGTATGCTTTGTTGTCAAATAAGTTCAGACTTCCAGTCACACAAATACGCCTCAGCTTGGTATTGTCTGATTTATAAAAGAGCTTAAAATAGCATCAGAGTGAAACCTTTTGACCTTTAAAGTTGTCCTGAGGAGTTACTTTCTTACCATTTTGCATTTCTGTGTGATACAGGTCAAGAAGATTTTGCGGGGGTAGGTGACTACGCGTAGTACTACCTCCATCTTTTCATCATCAACACAGCCATGCCAAGAAATGCAAAATATTACCTCAATGAGTTTTTCAGCTACCCCCTTGATTTTCCAGGGAGATTGTTAGCATATATACAGCTGCTCGCGAGAAGTTAGGAAGGAACAAGTTGAATTTGCATTAGTATATGCATTATGGCATTGTGCTGACAGTAGTCCCATTAATGTAGTGCTACTTGTAATTTTGCAGCTTATAGTTATAATTTACACCAAATTCTTTTGTTATGCTCTACGTATTTGTATAACATACCTCACTTGCCATTTGTGTTGCTATTGATATTTCAAGGAATTGTTCATTACAAAATCCTGTTCTTGGTTCTTCAAAAGCACTTTATGCATAACAATTTATGTATGTGAGCATTTATGAAAACTCGTTTTGATACAAGTACATTGGAACTATTTGTCTTGAATAAGACCCAGGTTAGACTTAGAAACGGATTACCTCTTAATAACAAGTCGCCCTTTAATGAATAGAGAAGTCACCTATTGTTACAACACTGGTTTCATACTTTCATACAAGTTTCTTTGAATATAGAAAAACTAAATTTTGGCAGAAAATCAGCTCTTTTGTCTTCTGATAAACCAAAATTCCACTCAGTAACAGCTGAAAAAAAATAAACAGGATTCCTTCAGAATCAGTCCTCTACCATATTTTACAGGCTAACTAATCTATAGTTACAACACACATCCCTAATCCCATCAACGACTTCACTTCTTGGGCACAAGATAAACCCGCGCTTTAACCACAGAACCATTGCCCAATTTAAATCCAGGGCTTACTGGGAACCCGACAACCTGACCTGGCGGGACTTTTCCTCCAGGATACCTCACAACGCTCTCCATGTAAGCCGGGTGAAATTCAGCCCCTCGACTTGCCTCAAAGTGGCTTGGAGGCGGGTCAAGTGAAAATGCAAGCAAATGGAGCAACCAAACTGCCTTGGCTAACCCAAGGAACTCAGTGTAAAAAGGGGTTCTTGGATGGGTTCCATTCAGAAGCTGGTTCCTGAGGTCCAAATTGGCAAATAGGGATTCTTCCATCTTGGGATGAACTATATCTTGGTATTTCTTACTACAAAAAACCCCAAATGGAGAACTGGGCAAGATACCAAGCAGCTCAGAAGGGTCCATTGCTTTCATATCTCGAAACTTGGAGAAGCATTCAGTCTGGAACTGGGAAGGGTTTAGAAGAGAAAAAAAGGGTGCCGTCCATGTAGAAAGTTTCATGATCAAAGCCTTGGAAGATCTTGCGGAGGACATAGGATTCAAGGGCATATTTAGTTTGATGTTGATGAGGGTTGGTACTTGTAATGGCGGTTGATCCAGTGGTGGAGATAGCAGCTTCAATGGATCGTACAGCAGCTGAGAGGTCCCAGTGAGCAGAGCGCATGAGCGACAGAAGGTAAGACGTGAAAGATTTCGAGGAATCTCTCACTTGCTTCATTGTCACTTCAAACATGTCCGGTGTAGGTGAAGTTGGAACTGCATATGCAACAAAAATGAAAGAACATAAATAACTCTGAAATCCCTTTCAGAAAAACACTTTTTTGTTGGAGCTACATTATGCAGTCAATTATGGAAATCAAACTTAAAAAAAGAAAAGATAAAGTTGGTCTTATTGGACTTTCTTGCTTTCACTTTTGATCATTAAATCCTTTTGAAAGATCAGCAACTTTATATTCCATTATTGTTCTCAGATTCTTCTTTCTTACTTAACAGACATGATTAATCCAGGATATTCTCCACTTTTATGACTTTTGTCTATAGTAGATGATATGTTGAGTCGAATGAGATGAGTTAAGATTGGACCTTTTCTACAATTTTTCTATCACAAGTAATTTTAGAATACAAACATACTTGGTACCTCGTATGAGATTCGATCAAACAATCCAATTTCGGAGATTGTTCAATGGGCTCCTCTTGTTAAATCATCATATATATAACCCAATCTTACATAACAATGATCAGTGTATGTGGAATCACGGATTTCATAAATGTTGCATGCAATTCAACTCCATCAACTTATAATAACTTGATCTTAATTACACAATTACTTCTAATTTGGCCTAAATATTCATTCAACCCGTTGCAATATGCTATAAGTTAAGCACAAAATTAACAAACTCCATTCATTGTTACCTTTACCCCACGCCAACTCATTAGATAATCAAAGACAATTTACTAATCTGTGATTGTCACACTCATACATAATCCCCAACCATTATGTAATGATACATTAATTGATTAAACTAAATGATCATGAAAGGTCACCTATGTACCAACCAAAGGTTATCACTTTTTTTTTTCAACAAGTATAATCAATGAAGGGTGTATGCATTTTTCTCCCATTCACATTCACTTCGTAGTTATACCTAACATAATTTCAGTCCGTAAAAATAAGTACAATAAAAAACGTTGCAACTAAATAAAAACGAAGGAAGTACATGTTATGTTATGTACTCAAAATAGAGTATTTACCTTGATGTTGTAGAATGAAATTACCACCACCTTTCTTCCTACTAGACAAATTAGAAGACCTCCCATTTTTTTTACTATTACCACTTTCACTACTCACAACAACACTCAAACAACTCAACTTTTGTCTCAACTCGTCCAACTCCACCTCTTTTGCTTTCACCTCCTTGTTCAGCTCCGCCATCGCCGCCTCATACGGCGCCACAACTTCACTCACCGTCTCCGCCGCTCTCGCAACCACATTCCTTTTATCTCCGCCTCTTTTAAACCTCTCTCTCAACACCCCCATTCGCCGGAGCTCCGCCACCACCTCCGCATCCGCCACCCTCATTTTCTCCGGGTCCCACGGAGAATGCGCCTCTTGTAGCTTCGCATACGCCTTTTTCATCGAAGAAATCGAGTCAAATACTTGCCCCATAATCATCCAAACATCATTTTCTCTCTCCTCTCTTCCCCAAATTGCAGCATTATTGAACCTTTTACTCTGTAATTCTTCCTCTGTTTCTCTTGCATCTTCAAAGATTTCCCCGCTTTCTTCTTCTTCATCAGAAGAAGAGGAATTGTTGTTATTGTTGTAGCATTGTTCATCTTCATCGTCGTAGATTTCTGGGTTTGAGAGCTTTGATTTTAATTGGTTTTTTGAGGGGTGTGAGAATCGATCTGGGGTCATATCAACTTGGTTATGAAATCTGTTGCTTCCTAAAGGGTGGAGTAAACAAGAAGCTGTTACTCTTTGGATCAGATCAGAGAAATTGGTCACCTTCTTTGCCATTTTTAGAAAGAGAAAGAGCAGAAGCAAGAGGAGAGAGAAAACGAAGGAGAGTTAATGGGTGTGCAGAGTAGAGGGTGGACTGAACTAGTGAAGTGGGGATGTTGCGGGTTTCGAGGAGTATAAAAAAAATGTTTACTACGGAATAACATCTGTTAGGTTAAATCGTTACAAATAATACAATACGAGTTTAAAATAGATATATATTATTCCCTCCGTTTTTTAATACTTGTTCTATTTCTCCATACGCGGAGTTTAGGAGAAATTGACGAAAGTATTCAAATATAGAAATAGTGGGGTTAATGAAAGGTAAATTTGAGGAGAGAAAATCTAAAAGTGATAAAATTGGGTCCACTAGTTGAAAAAAATAAATTAAATATTATAAAAACTTTCCAAATAAGAAAATGGAGCAAGTATTTAAAAACGGCCGCAAAAGAAAAGTGGAGCAAGTATTTAAAAACGGAGAGAGTATACGAGTAATAGTTACTCCATACATTAGTACAAAGTATATTTAAATTTGAGCAAGTCTCAATTTATCAAGTTGATACATATCCATAAACAAGATTAGTAAATTAGGGAATATAATATCTAAATGGATCAATAAAAATACTCATTTAGGATAATATTGTTGTAGTAAAATTAATAATGAAGTCCACATTAAAGAAAAAGCTATTGACTTTAACTAAATAAATTGGATTTTCTCATTAAACTTGTCTACTCTAAACTCTAGAGTACAAATTTCAATATGGGGTAATAAGGTATAGGACAAAATTTTGGGATTATTATACGAAGTTGTTGATAACCCATATGCCTGTATTAATTGTTTATATATGTGTAGTACTTTTGTAGTTTTGTATTATGCCCTTAAAGGTTGATGATTATTTAATTAATTAGTTTATAATTGACTAATAGCCTAGTTAGATCTAAGAATATCTTTGTCAAAAAAAAAAAAAAAAGATCTAAGAATATCACTTTACTAGTCCGCTCTACTCGTGGAAATTTTATGCAAGTTTCCTTGATTGACACAAAATTTTAACTACAAGTACTTATATTTTTAATGATTAATTAATTTAAATTATAAAAAAAAACTATATTTGAGATTAGGGATGTCAGTGGGGCGGGTCAAATAGGAGACCCGCCCCATCCCCGACCCAATGGGGCGGGGATGGGTCTCGGTTTGGCGGGTGGTGGGGCAGGGATGGAGATAAAAACCATACCCGCCATGGGTGATGGGGCGGGGGTGGATTTTAAGTTGTACCACGCCCCATCCCCGCCCCGCCCCGCCCCGCCCCGCCCCATTTCGTACCCGCCTTATCCCCACATCTATATATCTTTTAAAGCAAAATTACATACTTTTATCCTATTTATAAAATAATTACATGAAATACAAATTAATTATAATACTTTGTACGACACTTATATTATAACACAAAAATGTGTATAGAATGTTTTATTTTATAATTCGTATTAATTATGTAAGATTGTATATTTGAGATACGAATATTAGGTGGATCTTTGGTGGGGATTAGGCGGATCTTTGGTGGGGATTAGGTGGGGATGAATATCCAAGTGGGGGGTGGGGCGGGGATGGTTTTGGAGTTGTACCCGGTGGGGCGGGGATGGGGATGAAAATTGGACCCGCCGCGGGGATGGGGATGGGGATGAAAATATTAGGTGGGGATGGGGATGGGAAGGCCAACAACCGCCCCGCCCCGCCCCATTGACATCCCCATTTGAGATGATTTCAATAAATACTTATAGTAGTATATTACTCCGTATTATGTTTGATTTTTTGTATAAAGTGGCTAACTTTGAGTGCTTCTTTTCAATATGTGAAATGGCATGAAACTACTCTAATAATTAGAGCTGTCAAAAGTTGACCCGACCCGAAATATCGACTCAAACCCGATTATTAATCGAACATTCTGAACCCAAAAAAAATGGTGACCCAAACCCGACCTGAAACCAACCCTAGACCCGAGTTGACCCGAGTATGTGAGACCCAAACCCGAACATGAACTGACCTGGAGATAACTCGACCCGAATGTAACTTGTAAATTATTGACCTGAACCGAACTCGACTTGAACCGAAATTGACCC